GTTTGAATCCAGCTGGGGCCTGCCAAACGACAATGACAACTACAACCAAAAAAAAGCTGGGTGTTATAGCGGGTGACTGTAGTCCTAGCTACTTGGGAGGCTGAGGCAAAAGAATAACTTGAGTTCAGGAATTGGAGGTTGCTGTGAGCTGTGATGCCACAGCACCCTGCCCAGTGCAACAGCTTGAGGCTGTCTCAAAAATAAATAAATAAATGGGAATTAATTAAACTAAAATTCTGCCATACAATGGATGTAATCAATAGAATAGACAACCTATGGAATAGGTGAAAATGTTTGCAGGCAATACATCTGACAAAAGACTAATATCCAGGATCTATAAAGAACTCAAACAAATTAATAAAAAGAAAACAAAAAAAAAATTAAAAAGTGGTCAAAAGACACAAACATTTTCAAAAGAAGATAGACAAATGAGCTACAAATATATGAAAAAATGCTTGATATCACTAATCATTAGGGAAATGCAAATTAAAACCACAATGAGATACCACCTTATACCTAACAGAATGGCCTTTATTAAAAAGTCATAAAACAATAGATGTTGGGGGAAAAAATGAGTATGGCAAGGCTTAGAGCGCCAAATATGAGATCATTTTAATGACTTGGTTGTGGAATCTAAAGTCCAGTCCTGATGTTAAAAGACCCAAGATCCAACAGGGAGATGGCGAGTTGACAAAACACCATTAAAAACAGTGACTAGAAGAAAATAATAAAGCTGTTTCCTGTTTATACTCTGAATGGTTTTAAATCCCTCAATAAATATGTTACCCATAACTAGGCTTCAGATTATTCACACGGCCCCACGTCGGGGCCATGAACAGATGAACAAGAGCTCACCACCAAAACTAGGTTGTACAAATAGCTGTCAGCGTTCCCAAACAAAAGTAGAAGGCAGGAGTGTGACATCTGATCTCATTTTCTACAGAAAAGAAAAACAAAGATTGAGACTTCTAAGGCTATTCACAGGAGGAGGGGGTGAGAAGAAGGGCAGGGGACCAGGATCAGAGGAAGTGAGGAGGGCAGTGGGTCAGATAGGAGAAGTTGCCAGAAAGTGACCATTTTGTGCAAAAACAAAAAAAGGAAGTGGAGACACACCCCGCCAAGTTGATATTTGCTTAACAGAATAAAAAAGGAAAGGAATTTCTATCCAATCTGACTATAAAAGGACTAGCTTAGAGACATAGCAGCATAGAAATTAATACCATCTTACTTTCAGCTAAGGAAGAAAGTGAAGATGCTTCCTTTTAATCTTAGTGTTTCTTATTACTAAAATTCCTTTTTAAAACACCAAAGTTAAAACGAAACTCATGAAAAGAATTAAAACAAAGAGATTTAAAATTCAAGGGGGCTCCCTTCCTCTCCAAATTGTCCCCCACAAGCTGCCTGGCTGTGTATCTATTCCAGTGCTCCTCCAAACCCACTGAGCACATAAAGCTCCTGGGATCTTGGCAAAATGCAAGTGCTGATTCAGGAGATCTGGGGCACAGAGAGGTTTTTCCTCTGTAGCAAGCTCCCAAACTGCCCTTGCAGCAGCAATTTAGACCCTGTACTGACTGCCAACATTTTTCTTTTACACAATGCAGAAGTTAAAAAAAAAAAAAAAACTACCTTTTCTTTAGTCTCTAAAAAATTTTTTGTTTGTTGAGCAAATTATTTATTAATACTCCCATGAGGTTGAGTACAGAACTAACATAGCCTTTCCCCAGCCCGTGGGGGAGCAGGGGATTTGAGGTCCAGAAATTGTGACATCTGTCCTCTGCTAGTATCAATGGGTCAGCGTTGTGCCATCCCTTGGGTGGCTGTGAACTGCACAGAGAACTTTATCCCTGATTCCAAGGCCGAGGATCACAGAGGGCAGGGTGAGCTTCTCCTTCTCTCTCCTCTGCCACATCATCTGCTCCAGTGGAACACCCCAAGGAAGAGACATGCCCAATCTGAAAGTCATCTGCCTGAAGGGGAAACAGAAAGGGCAGAGACCCAGGCCTGCTCTCAGGGATCCCTCCCTAGTGGGGATCAGAAAGATGCTGAGGAGGGATCGGACAGTGTGGTGTGTGACAGGGCGACTGACTGAGGCATGACAGGCTCCTGCTTCCCTTTCCTCTTTTGGACATGTGGCTGGACCCTTGATGGAAAGACATTTCAGAAGCATGCCCTGGCCTTGGACAGGTTGGGTTAATATCTAAAGCTGAAAACACCAAAAGCTGCTCTTCACCCTTTTAGCATCTGTGTTCCCAGAAGAGATTATACTAGAAAAGTCCATATGATTTACTAGAAATTACACTAGAAAAGATTGTACTAGAATTAGCTGTGAGATTATACTAGAATAGGTTTGGGGGAGATTAAAGGGGGTGGATGCATGCTAGGGCAGCACTTGAGGGGGTGGAGAGATGTCTTGGAGCCTAGGAGAGTTCAGATGGAGAGGGAGGGGTTAAGGCAGCAGAAGGAGGCAGTGGCCCCAATTACAGTGGCCCAAGTGACAATGGCTGTGTCTGTGCCTAAGAACACCAAGCTCCTAGGAGCTGCAGCTCTCAGCCATGGCAAAGGCACATGTGGTCCCAAAACATCAGAAGTGCCATTTCGGGAGCCTGGGGGGCTGCAGACAGGGTTTCTCAACAGTAAACAGGGAGGAGCCTTTGAGAAGGGGGTGCTGCTGGGGGCACTCACTGAGCCCACTCCCAGGCTGTCCCCCATGTCCCAGTACATGGGTTTGCTATGGCTGCCATCACAAAATAGCAAAGCCTGGAGGACTGAAATAAGAGAAATTTCCTTTCTAGTGGTTCTGAAGGCCAGAAGCCTAAGATTAAGGTGACAGCAGGGTCCTTCTGAGGCTGGCCTCCTTCACTTGTAGGTGACCATCTTCTTCCTGTGCCCTCACATCTCCTCTCTCTGTGGGTGTCTGCATCCTAACTGCTTCTTCTCATAAGAAAGCCAGTCACATTGGATTGGGGCCCACCCTACTGACCTCAGTCTAACTGAATTACCTTTTAAAAGACTGTCTCTCAATATATCACATTCTGAACTACTGGGGATTAGGATTTCAACATACAAATTTGGAATGGGAGGGCTCATGATTCAGCCCAAACACCCACCACTCCCAACCTACCCCTAAGTGCACAGGGCAGTGCTCTTTCCCTCCTCAAGGACTCTGGTATTTGGCAGCCCTGAGGACCACCCCCACTTCATGCTGCAGTGTACACTGGGATCTCAGCAGATGGAGCCTCACACATCAGTATATGTGACAACACTCCTCCCTAACTTTAGCCACAGTTCCTTGGGGTCAGACTAGTGAGTGGGTAAGTAATCCAGCCCTGCCAAATGTGCCTGTGAACACTGATGTGTGAGCAGCCCTGAACACTGCATTGACACAGTTGTTCATGCACCAACAGTGACCTCAACCAAGTGTCCGCTCCTTTACCTCCTCCCCCCCTGTGTCCTCTTCTCCTACAGCCATTCAACAACCATAAGCACACTTCCCACCTGACGCCTCACTCACTAATATCCTTTCTTTGTAGCGTAGGTTTTATGCTGCACTTGCTGAACAGATTGTAAAATTCTTGATGTCAGAAGCTACGTCTTTAATGTGTGTGTTCCATAACTCTTGTATACAGTGGGACACAGTAGTCAGGGGCAGTGAAGGGTCTAAAGTCTAACCCTATATGCAAGTCAACAAGTCAGTTTGCCACAGTTTCATAAATGCTGGTAGAAGCCACAAGACCCCCAAGTCATGACAAAGAACAAAATGTTATGCACAGCAATAGCAGTGGCCACAGGAGCAGCATCTTTGCACTGGGCCGTGTCCCTGGCAGCAGGGTTCCTCTGAAGTCTCTCAGGAGAATGAGAGTTCCCACAAGACAATGCAAAGAGGCATTACAGGTGACACTCAGCGGGTTGGATTCTAGGTGCCCTGAGCATATGGAACCTGATTCTTTTATAATAGGCAACAAGCATGCCTGTCCTTTACTCCAGAAAGAGACACTGTTTTCCAAGGCTGCTCATCGGGAGGTACAAATATCTGAAACACCTTTGAAAAGACAGTCAAGAAGAAAGGTAACCACTACTGCTGCTCATAGAGGTGCAGACTGGATTTGCCCTTCAGGCTGTAATTTGCTGACCCCTGTCCATATTCTGAACATACTTCCATCTCACAGGCTTTTTTACAAATCTCTATTGAAAAATTAGACTGGGTGAGAGCCCTTGTGGAGAGTAACGCCATCTTCACCACAGATCTCAGCTCTAAAACTCTCATGCCTGTGGCCAGCCACTCAATGCAGCCGCTCTGCACCTGCTCAGCTCAGCTTTGGACAGAGGACAGAGCGGGCTCTGGAGCTAATCTGCTTGGATTTAAACACCAGTGCTATCCCTGTGAGGCTGCTAGATAATAAAACCCACCTCATGGAGATTTCATAAAGCCCCAATCTGCTTTCCTACCCATCAGAAATTATTACATCTATATATTTCAATGATAAATTTATATACCTATAAAGCAATGAAAAAACATAAAAGAAAAATCAGTCACATCATTTACAATGAAAGTGAAGAACAGTCAGGAGGGTGTGTGTTTGTGTGAGTGTGTAGAAAGACAGTCTTTCCTTCCAGGAGTGATTTGAAAGACAGAGAGAGAACCAACACTAAATAATGCAAAAAGAAAAAAGAAAGAGGAAGGGAGTGAAAGAGAGAGTGAGAAAATCTTGTTCTATGCTCCACATAGTTCCATAAAAGTCTAAAGGTCAAAGTTGCAGATGCTTACACAATCTTGGTAGTTAGATTCTAAGCACACCAGAGTTACTTTCACTTTACACCGAATGGAAAGAAATCAGAAAAAGAAGTTTTGCCTCTTGGGATGTAGAGCAGAACATAATTTAATTTAGTCTTACTGGCACCTTGTTTCCATGGAATAAATCACCTCTTGTTTAATTCCATTCATACCAGCACAAAGGCCTTTCACAGCAAGCTGAGGTGTATAAACAAAGAGAAACCACACCTTCCTGGGTGAAACTGCTTTTTAATCAGCATTGGGGAAAGTGCAGCAATATCTGTTCATGGATTTGAGAACCCAGGAGTAGGAGCAGTGAGTATAAACAATGCAGGGAGGAAGGAGGGGGCAAGACAGTGGCTGAGGGGAACACAAGCACAAGGACAGGGCAGAGAGCTTTGAGTGGCATGTACAATGTTCCCCCAGGGCCCTGGGCTGCTCTGGACAAGGACACAAGACTGAGGGAACCAAGTGGAGTCTCTGGTGGCTCACAGGACGATGGCAGCTGGGGTCTTCTCCCTAGAGGGTGAGGGGGGCACTGAATTCTCCCGCAACAGCTTCTCCTCCGATTCTTCCTCATTCTGGAAAAAAATTGTAAAAAAAGCTCAATCCTTGGAGAAAAGGGTATGGAGGCAGAGTTAGCTTTGCAGAACCTGGAAACTAAGAAGGGGAAAGAGACAGGAAACTGATCAAGCAAATAGGACGAGGTGTCAGAGGCATCGGACAAGTAGTCCCACACCTGGGACAGAGTGGAGGCGAAAGTGGAGATCAGAGTAGAGGAGCGTGCACCCGCCATGGTGATGGGGTTCCACTCCCCAGACAACTAAGGGATGAGCCAGCACAGAAGGGAACTGAGCCAGGTGCTCCCCCCAGAAAACTCACCAGGGGGCCAGAGCTCTGGCCACACAGGCTTCTAAGATGCACTCCCAGGGAAGCCAAGGCCACAATAACCTTCAGGACACAGACAGCCAGCAGCATGGCTCGGAACGCCAGGAACAAGTTCTAGGGATCAAGGAAGAAAAAAGATACTCAGGGGTCACTCTGCCACCTCCCCCACCCCCAAGCACAGAATCTATCCAGCATGCTCCAACCCACCTTAGCAGCTGCATTTCCAGTGATGGGGACAGCCACAGCTTCCACCCCATTTGCTTGCCTGCAGTGTGGCCCCCCATTCCCTAGTGAGAAGTAGAGTCTATTTCTCCACCCCCTGGAATCCAGAAGGACCTGTGACTGCATGAGCCACAGTGGAAGTAACACTATATGATGACTGAGGTAGCCCTTAATAAATTGTGGTTTTGAGCCACTGCTTTTGGGGGTGATTTTTAATTCCATAATAAAAAACTGGAATACCCATGCACCAGAAAAGACAGAAGGTCTCCTGTCTGACAAGTCTCCTCTTTGTTCCTCAAACCCTTTAATTCAGAGACTCTTCAAACTATGAGGGTCTGAAAAATGTCTTCAGTTTAAGTTAAAACCTCCTGGACCAGAGATGGAGGGTGAGGTCCAAGTTGGAAGAGCCTACATCTCTTGGGACCAAAGAGCTGTGACAAGGCCCTGGGAGGCTAGACTCCTGCCTCTTACCACCAGCATGGTCATGTAGGCTCTGCACCTCTTCTTCCGCCAATCTTCGTCTGTCTGCCCCCATCTGTAGCCAGCGGTAGGGTCGTCAGACCCTGGGCATTCACACACAGAGTCCATGTCGAAGAAGCCATCAGTCTGCCAGGTTAAGCTGTTCACACAGAGGACAAGGGCAGCTACGGCCGTGGCAATGCTAGCCAGGGTGAGCAGGCTGGACACGCAGCCCTGGAGGGAGAGGGTCGGGACATAGAGCCGTGAGGTCCCCACCTCAAACCCACATTCTTCCCCAGCCCCTGTCCAGAAAACTCCCCCCACTCTGCCCCTCTGGGAGAGACCCCAGGATATTGGGAATCGAAGGTTGGAAGACAAAGAACAGCGCAGAAAAACTAGACACAGGAGGGGTTAGGTGGACACGGTGGGGAAGAGACGACACCTGAGACTCACCAAGAGTTTGCCACGGTGCTTCTCATAGACTATGGCCCCAACTCCTGCTGCAACTGCCTGGGAGGGGGAGACACAGACAGGGCCTCTGATTTACTCACCTGAGTTAGTTCCCATCACCCTTCCACCAACAGTTCCCACAACATCCAGTCAGAAGCAGGATCCAAGGGACAAGCAAAGAAACCCAGCACACGGACAAGACTCAGTCCCAACTGCCCCCCAACTCCACCTGAAAGAGAAAAGTGAAGCAACAGGGCTCTTCCCACCCCTCGAGGAGCATCCTCTTAGCACAAGCATCTGGACCTGGAGTCTTTTGTCATTTCTTCAAATCCCTGGCCTGGCTAGACCCAAAGGAACTTTCTCCTTGCCCATACCACTTGCCTCCCACCAACCTCACAGCCTGTTCCTTACTCACCACAGACCCAGCCCAGAAGGCACAGCCGGAACCACGCAGCTCAGTCCAGGGCCCGAAGTAGAGACACACACCCAGAGCGCAGCTTATAACTCCCAGCAAGATGTGAACCACCTATAAGACAGGGTGAGAAACCAGACCCCTTCCAGCAAGCCCACAGCCTGGCAGCCCCAGCAGCAGTGGCTCCAGCTCCTGCCTCAATAGCTCTCCCCTCCTTTTCCTCTGCCTTGACCTCGCCACAGCTCTGATTCTAGAAGTTTCCATTCCCTTAATATCAAGGAAGCTGTACTGGCCTGGGTCTCCCACTCCTCCCCTTGTAGGCTTGGCTGTTTACTCTCCATTACTTTTCCTAACTTTAACTCTTTCTCATCTCACGTGAGATGAGAATATTCTCACTTTTTTCCTCCTCATTTTCCCTTGGGAGTCCCATCACCCCATCCAAACCCAGCCTGAGCTCAGCACCTTTCTTTTCAGATCCAGACTCATACTTCTGAGGGCTCTGTGGTAAATGCACAAATGTATACTGCTAAGACCTCCTTCAAGAAAGGGGTGTGGCTGCGGGTGTGGCTGCTGACAGCCCTCAGTCCTCAGATTCAGGGTCAGCCTAGTCTTTCAAGCTGCGGGCACAAGCTTTGGTCATTCCAGGGCCATTTCTCCACCCAATGTGGAGCTCGAGCGATAGGCTGGCAGAGTCTGCATGGCAGCCTGAGGGCTCTCTCCACACAGGCCTGCCCCCACCTTTCATTTCAGGGGTGTTAACCTCAATAAAATATCCATACACCTAGCTCCCACTTAGCCTCTGCTTCCAGGAGAACCCAACTGAGACAGCCTCTTGATGTCATAGCCTCTTGAACATCACCACCTACATGTCCTGCCAGCATCTCAGATGTGTCACATCCAAATTCTACCCCACCCCACACACCTCCAACACCTGCCCCTCTGACCTCCTGGCTATGGGCACTTCAAACCTCTGTGTGTTGTTGGACTTCCCTCTTCCCTCATACCCCATCCCATTCACTTGCAAGTCATGGAAACCCAATCCACAAAGGATCCTCTTTTCCCTCACTATTTCTTCTACAATCACACAAGTGCAGACCCTTGATGCTTCTCACTTGGACACCTCCAGACGCTGAGGAGTCCCAGTGCCTGCTCAGAATCCATCCACAGCCTTCCCAGTACTGAATCTGATTCAGGACAGACTCCGCACCTTGTCCTCAGGGCTCTTGACAACATGGCCCTTTACCAACAAGCAGCCTGTCCCTGTGCTCCTCACTAGTGCAGAGCTGACTGTGCTTTCTGGCCTCTTTGACTTTCCTCCTGTCATCTCCTTGATCTGGAATTCTTTTTCTTCCATTTTCTACCTCTATCCACCTAAACCCACTCCTTCCATTACGGGTCTGACTGACCCCAAGGATGTCAGTTCAACTTACCTATCTACCTTTAATTCTAGTTGCTTGTGTAGTTCCCTGGTCCCTTCTGAAAGATGCTAAGCATTTTTAGGATATAGCCTAGGGATTTCCCCTGAAGTGCCTAGTACCTGCCCTCGCACCTGCAGGCCCTCAGCGCATGCGAGTTCAGTGAAGCTGAATGAACCTCCCAAGATTCGTCCCCACTCTGACCAGGACTGACCCTCTGTACCAAAGAGGTTGATTATTCCTCTTTATATAAATCCTCTTTGGGGAAACTTCCAAAACCTTTTCTTATACAAGATGAGATACAAATACTTCTTGTGTCCCTCCTCATAGGGATTCAACTCTCTTTCCCTTTTTGCATCCTATAGAAAAAGGAGAGTTTCCATTGTGAACGTTGATCATACAAATTGGGTAAGTCTTTACCACAGCAACTAAAAGAGTCTGGAAGCCAGAAGGAAAAAGCACTCAGGAGCACTCAGCTCCAAGATTATAATTTTCTGCAAGCCTTCCTTCTGGCACTTCCTGCTGTAACCTGAAACAAGTCATGAGACCTTGCCAACTCCCAAGGCCTTACTGGTACAAATTAACATTCTTGCAGAGCAACACATTACATTTTTCTTTTTTTTTTTAAGTTTTTTTTTTTATTAAGTCATTTGTACATAGATCATAAATACATTTATGCCATTATGGGATTCAATTTGTTGATTATTTGTACAAATTGCTTACATCCTACTAAACAACATAGCCTTCACCTCATTTACCCAATTACAGGATTAAGACATTTGTGTTCTACACCTGATAGATCCAAATTGTACTTGCAATATTCTCCATAGGTGTGGTCCCCCTACCAACCCTCCCTTTATCAACCCACCCCCTCCCTTCCCATCTCCCTCCCCTTCCCTCCTTCATCCTAAGCTATAGTTGTGTTTCATTTTTCATATGCATGTGTGAGTGATTGTAAATTGGTTTCACAGCAGTACTGAGTACATTGGATATTTTTTTTTTCCATTCCTGAGATACTTTACTAAGAATATTTTCCAGCTCCATTCATGTAAACATAAAAGAGGTAAAGTCTTCATTTTTTTTTTCAAAAGGCCAATAAGGAACCTTTATTTAGAGCAGCCAGCCAGCTGTGCAAGTCTCAGATCAGGGGAGGGCCACCCGGACCAGAGTTAATGCATAGCTTTTATAGGTTAGGTGACATAGCAAGCCAGCCACCAGCTACCATGCCCTATGCATACAGAAGGGAGATTTATGGCATTTGCAGTTATTTGGTTAGCCAAAACAACAGCTAAATAAAAATAATTTTATCATCATTGGGTCTGCATGACCTCGTGTGTTCCATGGAATCATTGGGTCAGCAGGACCTTAATCAGCAAGGGGATGGGGAAGGGTGAGCTGGCCTCTTGCCCCTCCAGCCACCTTCTCTTTCTTCTAAAAACATACTGAAGACCATCTGCTCTGTGTGTGTGCCCTGAAGTGCAATTTTTTCTTCCAGATTAAACCTTTTTATTGCAGAAATTTGGTTCTTTATTTCAACTGACTTAAACTCTATGACCCTTGTCCCCTCACTCATCCACCACCAGCCCACTCTTACCCCAAGAGCCAGCTGTGCAAGGTTTATCGTGGCCTTGGAAGGTCTCTTGTCTCCGAAGCAAGGAAGAAACTGCTTCAGAGAACCACCAGCTTTCAACAGTTCTGACAAAGCCGACTCCTGGTGGATGTGGATGTTGATGTGGGTGGGCTGGGATGACGTAGAGGCCACAGCGACTCCATTCACTGTCACCATGTTCTGGGTCATCGTGCCTGTTGGGAAGAAGACCTGCAGAAGTGAAGTCTGGGAACCGGGTAAGATAAAAGGGAACAGCATGGGTGAGGGGAGAGAAAATCGCCTCCTTGCCAGGATCCAAAGGTTCTTCCAGTTCAAACATCAATGTCACAGTTACCTTAATCTCAATCACTACTAGAGTTTTTCACCACATACAGTCTTTGGCCCCTTCCCTAAAGTATCTAACATAGTTTATCTAGTTCCAGTGTGGGAGAAAGAAAGGAGTCTGAATTATTTTAGTATATATATTTTTACATAGAATAGTTTCATTAGTTGAAAATTTCAAAGTATACCAAAGGGTATACCTATCTCCCATCTTTTCCTCCCAGCCACCTACTTGCCTTCCAGATAGAAACTGATAAACCCTGTGATGACTTTTTACATACAAAAGCACATACACATACTATTTCTTCTCCCTTTCCCCACAAATAGCAGCACAGTGGACACACTGATCTGCACAATCCTGTGTTCACATAACCACACGCTTTTAGGATAATCCTAATCAGTACATAAAAAGTGTTGACCTAAATAACAAATAGAGAGGCTCTCTCTAAAAACTGAAAAAAAAGATGGGAACAGGCATTGCAATGGGAGTACATGTGCCATGGTAAACTGTGTGCATATTCAGGGAGATAAAGGAAGACGAAGGTTTTTAAAGGAAAAAAAGAGAGGATTACATAATTGTTTGGGATAATTATCCTTGGCTACAAGGACCAATAACAAAGGTGACACCAGTCCAAGGTTGGACAGACAAATGCTGGGCAGATGTCTTCACAGAAATATGTTTTGGGGGGTGTTTTGTTTGTTTGTTTTTTGAAACAGAATCTCACTCTGTCACTCTGGCTAGAATGTCATGGCATTATAGCCCACAGCAACCTCATTCTCTTGGACAATCCTCCTGCCTCAGCCTCCCAAGAAGCTGGGCCTACAGGCACCCACCACATAGCCCAGTCAGTTTTTCTCTTTTTAGTATAGATGGGGTCTTGCTCTTCCTGGGGCTGGTCTTAAGCTCCTGAGCTCAGATAATCTACGGGCCTTGGCCTCCTAGAATGCAAGGATTACAGGTGTTAGCCACCCAAGTTGGCCTCAGAAATATGCTTTATACAATGTTGTGATGGTCTTTGTGCAGGGTTGTCATTTTTTTTTTTTTTTTTGCAGAGCCCTTTGCAATAGTTTTGTTTATCAGGCATTTATGCATAAGAATCATTCCTTCATGGCCTTCTCCAGCTCTATTTGTCAGGGTTTTGTGGGGGCGGGGGGTGTTATTTGTTTTTTCTAACACAAGTGACTCCATTTTGATTCTGACAATGTCCACAAAAGCTTCTTCACTCATTTGTGTAACTGCATAGTACTCCAGTGTATGAATCCACCATGATTTATTTAAATGGTCCCTTACTGGCAGATATTTAGGTTATTTCCAATCCTTTCCCATTACAGCTGATGTGGAATTAGCAAGTCAACAGGAATGTGCCTTTGCAATTTTAGTAAATGTCACCAGTTATCTTCTATGGAGGTGGCAGCAACTCACACACAGATGCACCATCAAAGAGTGGAGCTGCCCCTTCCCACAACCAAGAGCGTGTTGGCAAATTCTACCTTCTTCAATTTCATATGGGGAAACTACATTCTATAGTAGATTTTTCAATTCATGCAAATATCCCATTTTAAATATATATCTCAGTGAGTTCTGACAAATTTATACATTCATGCAACTACAGCTACAATCAAGATATAGGACATTTGCACTCAAATGTTTATAAGTAGTCCAATTTACAATTGCAAAGATGTGGAAACAACCCAAGTATTCTTCAACACACAAATGGATTAATAAACGGTGGTATATATACACCAGGGAATACTACTCTGCCATAAGATGGAGATTTTGTATCCTTTGTTCTAACTTGGATGGATTAGAAGAATGCTCTCCTAAGTAAAGTATCGCAAGAATGGGATTAAAGAGCATCTCATGTGCTCAATACTAATTTGAAATTTGTGGATTAACAACAACATATTCACATGAGAAAAAAACTCAATTAAACTCAAGATGAGGGGTTGACAGGTTCCTGCCCAGCAGGAACAACGTACAGAAGTATGGCACCCTTCCTGGGCAAAGGACACAACCACAACTTGGACTTTACCTTACAAACACAAACAGTGTTACCTAACTGTTAGGTACTCTCATATTAATCTGAAATTTTAAATAAAAAGATATACAACATTTCTGTGATGCAAAAATTTCCCTAATGTAAAGAAATATTTGGGCTCAGCGCCTATAGCTCAACCAGCTAAGGCGCCAGCCACATACACCTAAGGTGGCGGGTTCGAATCCCCAGCCCGGACCCGCCAAACAACAATGATGGCTGCAACCAAAAAATAGCCGGGCGTTGTGGCGGGCACCTGTGGTCCCAGCTACTTGGGAGGTGGAGGCAGGAGACTCACTTGAGCCCAGGAGTTGGAGGTTGCTGTGAGCTGTAATGCCACGGCACTCTACCCAGGGGGACAGCTTGAGGCTTTGTCTCAAAAAAAAAAAAGAAATATTTGAAACTCATGTAACAGATGATAATCTATTGAATAAACAAAGGACTTCTGGAGGCCAAAACCAAACAAATCATAGCCCAGGAAATTCCCCCAACCACTGGCCACATGTACCCACTGATCTGCTTTCTGTAACTTTTTCAGGACAGTTTTAATCTGTAGTTCTCTTATTGTGAGTGAGGTTGATCATCTTTTCATTATATTAAGGGCCATATTTATTTTCCTCCATTTGTAGCCTAAATCCTTGCTGTTTTGTTTTGTTTTGGACTCTAGGAGTCCTTTGTTTATTCAAAAGATTACCATCTATGATATGAGTTTCAAATATTTCTATACAATTTGTGATTTATGTTGTTACTTTGCTTGTATTTTTATATTTCATTCTTTTTATGGTGTCTAGGCTTTATATCATACTTTTAAAGGACTTCCTCCATTTCAAGATTACAAAATAATTCTTCCATGTTTTTTTCTAAGTGTTTTTATGCTTTCAGTTTTCACTTCCAAATGTTGATTCATTTGGAATTTATCTAATATGTTGGAAGACATGGGTCCAAGTTTTTGTTGCTGTTGTTCAGATGGTGAATTTCTTAAGTGTGTGCTTCATTTGTGGAATATATCATCTTCCTCGCCCTGATTTAAAATTCTCTCCTGAGCAAATATGAGGTTCTCATAGGAATTTAGGTTAGTCTAATCTTTACATTCTGTCCATTGGAGTGTCTGATGAGTCATGCTTTGTTACCACAATTTTAATTCTAAGTATGGAGTTTAATATCTAATTGGGCTGTTTCATGTTCCCCTCGTGTTAGTTTTTGCTTTCAGAATTGTCAGGACCATTTTTGCTAGATTACCTCTCCATGTACACTTTAGGGTCAATCTGTCTACCTCCAAATTAAATCCTGCATAGGCAGGGGGCCTTTTTGTTTTTTTGTTTAGACAGTCTTACTCTGTTGTCTGTCCCCAATGTGTCGTCATCAGCCTAGCTCACAGCAACCTCAAACTCCTGAGCTCAAGTGAGAGCCTCCTGACTCAGCCTTTGAATGGCTGGACTACAAGCGCCTGCCACCACACCCAGTTAATTTTTCTATTTTTAGTAGAGATGTGTCTTGCTGTTGCTTAGGGTGGACTCGAACTGCTGAGCTCAAGTGATCCTTCCCACCTATCATAGTTTAAATCAAATATTAATGACAATTCTAATACTACCTCTCATTTATATGCTCTTTGAGATAAAAAGGACAGGTATTTGACTATTCTGCAGACGCATAAAAGAGATTCAGACTTATTTGCAGACACACAAAAAGAAGCCCCCCTTCCTGGCAGATTGTATATTGGGGGCTCAAGAGTCAGCACAAAGTTGCAGCCTGCAGCATGCCTTGGGCCCCAGCTACCTCCCAGCCCCGTACCAGGACTTCCCTCGCCCCACCCCAACCCCCAGATCTGCCAGCCCAGCTCTTCCCCTGAAGGGCAGAGTCTGCACCAGGCCAACCACAAAGCCGCCCTTCCTCAGCCTCCGCGGTTCCAGGTGGTGAGGCTCTTCCCTGTCACCTGGATACTTTCCTCTGCCCCGCTCCTCTCGGCCTTGGAATTTGGGATAGAGGCCGGCACCCTTGCCGAGGCCTGGGCCCACCGTCCCAGAGGCCACTCCACCTTAGGGCACCGGTCTTAAGGAGCCTCCTCCACCCCAGCCAGGCGCAGTCCACTCCTCCTCAGCCGTGTTTCTAGGCCTCCCCATCTAGCACGATCCTCCCTCCCCTCCGCGAGTCCTGCGGAAAATGAGGAACGCAGAAAGAAAGGCATCCCGCGGGACGCGATGGGGCTTTGGCGGGGGTTGGACTTGGAGACTCCTCTGGAGACAGAGGGTGCAGTGGCAAGAGAGACCCTGGGAAAGGGGCCACCCGGCCTGCGTAGGCCCGGCCTCACCTGCTGTCCTCCGGAAGCGAGAGCCGACCCCGAGCTGAGAACCCGCCGTGGGAGGGACGTCGAGGGACTGCTGCGGACTGCAAGGGACCGCGCGGGAGGGGCGAGGGGGCGCGGCCTGACCTGGGCTCCACGGCTTCCCGGCAAACAGCTGGACGGAGGAGGGCTCCCTCCCGAGGGGGAGCTCCGCGTCCTGTAGCGGATCTGCGGGAGCAGCAGGGCCCGCGCTCACTGGCTCAGGCGCCCTCCCACGCAGACAGCACGCGGGGCGCGCACACGCACGGCAGCGGCCCTCCCGGTGCTGAAAGCCTTGACCCGACGGGCTGGGGCGGAGACAACCTCGTCTTTCCCCGGACCGCCCCCTCGCCCTGCCAGCCTCCCCGGCCCAGGAGCCCAGTGACCCCCGGCCGCTGGAAAGCCCCTGAAGGGTCCCTAGACCCAGCCGGCTGCCAGGAAGCCGTGCGGCGGGGGCCGCCCCTCCCCGCCTCCCGCCCAGCTGTGGCCCTCGTCCTCCGCCCTGCGCTGCACTCTCGCGCTGGCCTGGAGGACAACAGGTGAGGCTACCGCGCCCCGATTCCTGCGGAGGCTCTTGACACAGGACGCTCCCTAGGGGTGTCCAGGGCCGCCCTGGCCCCACTCTGGGTCCTCCTAGCCATCTGTGGAAATCGGCGGGCCCCACACAGGGATGTGACTTGCGTAGTGGGGGCGGGGGGGCAGTTGGGCCAGGTGAGGCCCTGGCCGCTGACCTCCCCGTGCACTGCAGCACAGTCTGGAAACTGGGACCCGGCCCTGGCGGCCGAGCAGGGCTCCTGGCGCAGAGAGGCTTTCGGAACAGAGGGAGGACAGGGCGGAGGCTGGGAGCCCAGCCCAGTACGCAGTCACTGCAGTAGGAACTCTGCAGGCTGGGGCTCAGGAGGAGAGGTGAAGGAAGAACTGGGCATGGTAATCAGGGGAGTCGCCAGAGGGGGTGAGAGGTAGGAGCGTGGGACACTGCTGACACAGACTCCAGGGCCCTGGGGGGAGGAGAAGGACGACTAAGACAACAGAGCAGAATCTGGGGCTAAGGAGGACTTTCCAGAAGGCTCAGCAGCTGGGCAGGCTGCCCTGGCACATGTCCTCAGAGGGAGCCAGAGGACAGCTTTGTGATCAGAGGCAACCATTAGGTGTCCCTGGGCCCTCACTGGCCCCTGACCTCCCCAACTCCAATGAAATGTGTAAAAATCTTCTTCCAATTCTTCCTCCTCCCTACCCCCTTCCTCCTTCAGAAGTGTCCCTAGCCATGGGGACAGACCAGGGCGGTGAGCTAGCCCTGGAGGCCCCACAGCCCACCCACATTGACGTGCACATCCATCAGGATTCGGCCCTGGTCAAGCTCCTGCTGTCTGGATGCTCCTGGCTGCGGCCCCCAGCCAGCAAGACCCCAGGCAGCAGCCGGCTGCTGGTGGCCTCCTGGGTGAGTGTGGCTGAGGCCTTGGGGATCTGGGACACCCCAGTTGGCTCTCAGCAGAGCAAGGAAGAGCTCTCTTCTTGCCATGTATACTCTGCCAGGCTCTGTTCTGACTCAGAGGCAGCTTCCCAACCTTCTGAGCAGCAGCTGTGGGGAGGCTAAGCTGAAGGGTACACAGAAGCTGCTGGCCCTAGAAGGCCAGACTGTGGAGCCCTGAGTCTATCCTCTCCCCTTGACCAGACACTTTCCCATTTCCTTCCCTTCCCTACTCTATGCTTCCTCCTCCTCTTCTTCCTCTTAATCCTCTCTCCTCCCCTGTCCCTCCTCTCCCCTCCCTTCTTCCTCTTATCTCTTTCCCTCCTCCCTCCTTTCTCTTTTCCTCCTCCCTTTTTCCTTCTTGGGGCTTTCAGTCATGGGAGTGGCAGGCCCACAGAGCTACCCTAAGGCTGGGAGGCAGAAGGCCACCTCTGTGCACAGGCATCTGGGAGCTGGATTCTTAGGCCTTTTGTCTTACAGGTGGTGCAGATCGTGCTGGGGGTCTTCAGTGGGGTCCTGGGAGGCATCTTGTACATCACCCAGTACTCCATCATACTTGGCTCAGGAGCTGCCATCTGGGCAGGGGCTGTGGTGAGTAGGGCAGGCCGGAGGTTGGGTTCCACTCTGAGGTGGAGGTGGAGGTGCTGTTGTCCTTATTGCCTTCATGCCCCCACCCTCCATGTGCTGCAGCACCCTGGCAGTCAGTAAGACCTGGTTATCTAAACTGCTCCTTGCTGTGGGAAGTGGTGGCACATCCAAAGTTACACTGTCAGCTCTCTAGGTTGCCTGCGTCTCCCCATCTTCAACAGCAAATATCAACTCCAGGGACTCATTCACCTCCAGATGCTTGTGCTGAGAGGGGAAGCACAACGTCCCAGACAATATGTGACCTCAAGGAAGTGTCACTTTCTGGTTACTCACACTGTCCTATGCAGGTCCCTCACAGTAGAATCCAGGTGTTAATAATGTCAGCAGATGAGGGTGTGTGGTCTGCATAGGAGCTGAGTAGGATGGAGGAACCCTTGGACATACCCACAGTCTCAGAATATCATCAAAACACACATATTTATTGAGAGAGGAGCCAAAAGCAACTATTTTTACTCATCTAATAGCAAAAACACACAGATTGCTTACAGAACAAGCAAGAATGACTTGGATATATTAGTGGGCTACACTAGCCCCCTACTCTGCCACACAACCACAGACGCCCCCTGTACTGAGACCTGCTTCAGCACACTGTGACTTCTATCCATGAGATCCCAGGGCTTTTCTAAGGCACTTGCTGTTGCTTAAAAAGGAAGGCTTTGGGGAAGAGAGGGAGAGCCCATGCCTGGCTTGTCCCCACCACTCTCTCCTATCACTAAGGAACATTCTGCAGCCTCATGAGTTTGATCCAGGCTCAGCACCCTCAGCAGTTATCTCACCACAGACTCAAAGCCCACAAGCCTACATGGAGTGCACTACGGAGGGACTGGCCATGTGTCAGCTCCATCTGCAGGAGCTGCTAGGAAAACAGGTGGAGGGGGCTGCATTTCCTGAGCTAACCCTGCTCTGGCTTAATCTCTGCCTAGGCTGTGCTGGCTGGAGCTGTTGCCTTCATCTACCAGAAACAGGGTGGCATCTGCTGGGTGAGTTCAGTTACAGGAAAGGGAGGGAACCAGGCTCAGGCTGGAGGCTACCCCAAGCTCCTATGCCTTCACACACTGGGTCCACGTGGCCTTGACCTCTTTATCCCAGACTGGACTCCAGAAGAGACTGACTCACTGATAATCTCCCTCTGCTTTCTTCCTCCCCAGGCCCTGCTGAAGACCCTGCTGGCACTGGCAGCTTTCTCCACGGCCATTGCTGCCATTGTATTTGGGGTCAGGAGTTTGCAATTCGGCTATTACTATGAGTATGCCTGCAATTGTAAGTCCCACTCCTGGGACTGGTACACCCCATCCCCCAGCTCCACCGAGAGTCCAGAAGTCAGACTATGTGTCTCCTATCTGGACATGCTGGGGGTAAGTGGTCAAGGGGAGCAGGTGCTAGGCAGGGAGAGCCAGGAGGGGGGTGAGAGTTGGGCTTGCCACCAGAAATAGGTGTTGCCACTTCTGCTTCAAACTTGATCATCATCACTAAAGACACATTAAACAAATAAGAAACAGCTCCAGTTGTGGGTGTTACAGACTAGTGGGAATAGATATTATTAAAATAACAACAAATGAACAAATATTGCAAGTGTGTGACATCTACAAAGGTGTTAAATGAATGTTCTTCCTAGATCCTCTTTGATTTTCAGGGCAGCAAATCATAGCCCAGGCCCACCACTGTGCAGATGAGGACAGTGCCCCAATGAGAAGAGTTTATGCCTATTGCTTGCACACTGGATCCATTGATCCCCTTCCAAAAGCTATGCCCTTGGGGATGAAAGGGTAGAGAGTGACCCATGTCAGTAAGCAATGTGGTGACAGAATGGAAAGGCTGCATCACCCTGATGCCTACGACCTTGGTCCTCTGTCCCCAGGCCCTTTTCACAGGCCTTCAGGTCATGCTCTTGAGTCTGTGGGTTCTGCTACTCCTGGCATCTCTGACCCCTCTGTGGCTGTACTGCTGGAGAAGATTCATACAGAAGGAGGTGAGTCCCTAAAGTGTGTGCATGTGTGTTTGGGACAGAAGGCTATTCAAAGGAGACAGGGATGGAGAGTGGATGGTTTGGAACGGAGCAAAGGGCCCATTACATAAGTCCCATGTACCATTATGCCTGTCTTTCTACCCAGTGGTAGCTCAGCCCAGCATGCCCCTGTCCCCAGTCAAGTGGCCCCAAGCAAAAGACCCCAGGAAGCCAGGGAAGTCCAAATCCAGGCTAGGCCTTTGGGGCTCTTTGCATCAGGTCCATGCGGCCAGTGGTGAAAAGGGCTAGCTTCACAACTAAGCTGCTTTAGAAGGGAGAATTTGCCCTTTCGCTCCCAATCTGGATTGTCTTACCTTTCTTCTTCTCTTAGGAAAGAGACCAGAAGAAGCTCCTGGGAGTGAGTGGGACCTAGACCTAGACTGAGACTTGGGCCTGGGCCTGGTGCTTCCCAGTGGGTGTCCTTGCACCTGACCCCAGGAAGAAGAACCAGACTGGGGAAAGACAGTCTTCAGCAGCAACAGCCACTACCCTGCTCCACCTGCCATCATAGCAGCCCTTGCCCTTTCTTGCTCCTCTTATCACCATGCTCTGCTGTGGGTCCCCTCCTGAGCAGTAATTTGATAATAAACTCACACACTGTTGCTCTCAGATTCTTGCTCAGTTATTTCAGCTACCTTCTCTTGGCTGGGAGAGGCAGTGGAGAATGAGCTGATGGCAGACCTAAGGCACCCCTCTCATGGCTCCCCATCCCCTAGAGTGGCCAGCCCTGGAGCTAGACCCTACATGAGGCTGGTCCCAAAGCTGTAGGTCCAAAGCCAGGGAATCAGAGAGGAAGGGGGCTGAGAATCTACACCCCACTCTTTGTTGTTCAGTCTTAATTGGGCAAATGTGTGAAAAATTGAGACCTGGATTTTTTATTTTGACTGTTTGGAAAGATTATGAAGCAGGTGCTATAAAACCAAGAGATACAGGCTCGGCACCAGCTACATACACCAAGGCCAGTGG